GGGGGGGGGGGGGGGGGGCAATTTCACAATGGTGTAACTTTAAAGTCCTATAACTTTTTTATCTTCAATCTTAGGGCATCAAAAATTTCTTAAAGATAATCGATAGAACTCTTCGGGCTACTAGAACTCTCAACAGAACTCGAAGATTCCGAAAAAAATTTTATTAAAATCCGAAAAAAATAAAAAAACAAAAAATATTAAAAATATATAAAAACGCAAAAGAAAACTTATATTCGGATTATTTGATCGTAATTTTCTAAGGGACTTCCGATAAAACAATAGTTACATTGGTCCAAATTTTCAAAGACTCCGAGAGATAAAAATTTTTTTCGGAATCTTGGAGTTCTGTTGAGAGTTCTGGTAGTCCCCCAAAAAGTTCTATCGATTACTCTTTATCACTTTCGATTACACTTAATCGAATCTTCCAACTGCGATAAAAAACGAAAAGGTTACAGCGGCCCAAAGTTTCTAAATTCTTTAGGAGTAAAAATTTTTTTCGGAATTTTGGAGTTCTGTGGAGAGTTCTGATAACTCCCCGAAGAGTTTTACCGATTATCTTAAAGAAATTTTGCGCTAAGATTGAAGATAAAAAAGTTATAGGACTTTAAAGTTACACCATCGTGAAGTTAGCCCCCTCCACCGTAGTTTCACTTCGTGTTTTAACCGCTTTAATCGACAGAACTCTTTTTTTTTTATCGATAGAGAACTCTAGAACCCTTCGGGGGGCAACCAGAACTCTACTCACTTTTCAAATTTTGAAAAAATGGGGCCAACTTCACAGACGTAATTAAATCTGTTAACTTAGCTATTGCATTTTAGAATTAAAGGTTTAACATAGGGCCAAGATTTCGACTCGGGAACATACTGGGTCTATTCTTCGATAAAATATAGCAAAATTGAAAAAAAATTTTTTTAATTTAAAAAAATTTATATGAAGAAAAACAAAAAACTATATTTTTTCCGTGTATCAGCAAAAAAACAAAAAACAAATATTTTTTCCGTGTATCAGCAAAAATCAATATTAACGAAAACACTAGGGATATCGTTTGACTAAATATGGTTGTTACAAGAAAATAATAATATTTATACTTATTATTATATTTATTACTATACTATATCTACTTATTATATTATACTTATAATTATTTTGCCCATTTTTATATTATTTTTATGTAAAGGGGTTGCAGAAACCATAGTATTCTGGAAGTAACTCTAACCTTGCTCATACGTGTTTGAACTAAACTCTCAGTTAGCACAAACCTAGTGCAAACATAGCGCAAACAAACTCTACGAATTTCCCTCGACCATATATACCGAAAAAAAATATTTAAAAATTTACTTGTGAGATGTAAGGCTTATATGAGCTTTATTTCACAAAAATAAGCTTTATATTCTACAAGCAAATCTTCAAATATTTTTCTTACTATATACTGAGAGAGAGAGAAAATATCTAAAAAACAACAAATATATTTATTCGACGAGAGTACTAATAATATATTAATTTGTACAAGCATATGCATGTCTTCACATGAAAAAAGAGAATTTCTTTCAAATGAGAAAATATATATTTTCCTAAAACAACACCGTTGCTTTTCATGAAAGCAATTGTTTGTTCAATTCAAACAAATAATCCAAGTAAATATGTTCTTAGTACCCAGAAGAGAGGATGAAATAGTTCGAGTATTCATCGACTCCATATTTTCCCAAGAAAACAACTGAACTCACTAGATGAGAGAAATTCCGCTCGAAGGCAATGTGCTGTCCATTGCTCGCGCACCGTGCTGTTTCCCAAGTGTATCAGGTCTTTCGCGATTGCGCAACATTATTACGTGGCACCATACCTTCGTATAAGAACGAAGGTATCAGCCGAGGAACACGGCGTGGCAGAAACGAAAACAAAGACGGCGCGACGGATGCGTGACAAAAGTCGCGCGATCGTGCATGAATCTGCGAACGTGCATCGCTAATGATCCGACTACGAAATTAAGTCGAGTGGCGTGGCCTTTCGCTTTTATTACGCGGAGAAACGACATCCCAAGTGTATCGCGTTTCGCTATGCCTACAGAAATAATGAAGTTGTAACGAACGTGCGGCGGGGTCAACGGATGT